TCATCCGGGACTCCAAACAACCTTCGGTAACCACATACTATTTCCCATAACAACTCTAGCATCATCGAACCTTGAGTGTGTAGACCCTACGGGTTCGGGAACCATGCAGACATGACCGAGACATCTCTCCGGCTAATAACCAATAGCAGGATCTGGATACCCATGTTGGCTCCCACATGTTCCACGATGATCTCATCGATGAACCACGATGTCGAGGATTCAATCAATCCCGTATGCAATTCCCTTTGTCTATCGGTATGTTACTTGCCCGAGATTTGATCATCGGTATCCCCATACCTCATTCAATCTCGTTACCGGCAAGTCTCTTTACTCGTTCCGTAACGCATGATCCCGTGACCAACTCCTTCGTCACATTGAGCTCATTATTATGATGCATTACTGAGTGGGCCCAGAGATACCTCTCCGTCATACGGAGTGACAAATCCCAACCTCGATTCGTGCCAACCCAACAGATACTTTCGGAGATACCCGTAATGCACCTTTATAGCCACCCAGTTACATTGTGACGTTTGGCACACCCAAAGCATTCCTACGGTATCCGGGAGTTGCACAATCTCATGGTCTAAGGAAATGATACTTGACATTAGAAAAGCTTTAGCAAACGAACTACACGATCTTGTGCTATGCTTAGGATTGGGTCTTGTCCATCACATCATTCTTCTAATAATGTGATCCCGTTATCAACGACATCCAATGTCCATGGTCAGGAAACCATAACCATCTATTGATCAACGAGCTAGTCAACTAGAGGCTTACTAGGGACATGTTGTGGTCTATGTATTCACACATGTATTACGGTTTCCGATTAATACAATTATAGCATGAACAGTAGACAATTATCATGAACAAGGAAATGTAATAATAACCATTTATTGTTGTCTCTAGGGCATATTTCCAACACCAAGAACTTCCCATTGGTATTGAACTTGGCCCATCGGTATTCCCTAATAGAGTAATTACTACTGGCATAGCATAGCCCAATAGGTATTAAACTTAGCACGTCCCTGTCCCCTTGGAGTTGCCACCTTGATCACACAATTCAAATTCTCTTTTTGTATCGAACTAAGCACAAAACTAACCGGCATTGGCTACATTATAGCTCCTGCACAGGCCATCCATGGAAAATTTATGTCGAAATAAACAAATTAAGATAATCGGTACTCTCTTCATCCGGATTTATAAGGCATATATGTAATGTTTTTCATTGTTTTTGATATAGCTCACCATTCATACCGAATAGTGCATATATGTATTTTAATATTTACTTTGACCATAGCTCTATCAACAATATATGAGATGTATGCCATAAAAATTATATCGTTGGAAACTTCTTTTAAATATGAATTTGATGTTGTACTTCTGTGGCATACATCCCATATGTTAGTGGTATAATTGATATTCAAAGTAAATATTAATACGTATTAAGCCTTATAAACACTGGTGGGGCTATGTGTTATCAAAATAGGCCATGGCCCGCCCAGCCCAGAGAAAATACAGTATATGATTGAAGTAACCTGGGCTATAAGGACAAACAATAGTGGCCTTCCTTTGAACCGGCCGTCCATCTTTGACTACATAGCTCCACCACTGCTACCCCTAAAAAAAGCTCCTTATAAACCCAGAGGAAAGGAGTAGCATTCACAACAGAAATTCTATCGAGACTCCAATTTATCCTACCCCCTTCGATCCAAATTAATTGACGCTCACTTAGTACAACTTCGATCAGAGGGGATACCACAAATCCCTGATTTTGTATAACCCCAACCCCAACTCCACTAATCTTTCTATCTTCTTCCACGTGGGAGCTGCAATGTGGACCATGCATGTCAGGTTTGTCCTAGAAATTGTGGTTGCTTGGGAAATTTTCCAAAAGTTGTGGCTTTGTGTTAGGAGCTAGGGTTCTGCCCGGTCTTGGCCGTAGGCAGTAGGGGAAGGAGGGGGCTGGGCGTGGCGATGAGCGGCCGCGCCGACGGCTGGGCGCCATCGCGGGAGAGGAGGATGGCGGCGGCAGCGCAAGAGGCAGGGGGCGGCTAGGGTTCCGGCTCCTCTGGGAGCCGGGCAATAGAGATAATCTTCTTATTGCTTAATTCCAAAAGGAGTCTTACAGCCTATATTTATAACCTAGATAACTTGCAGAAGAATTAACCTAAGATAACTTGCATAAGAATTAACCTAAGATAACTTGTGGGCTAAGATTGCCCAGCGGGCCTAGCTAAACCGGCCATAACACTTCTCCCCGCCTGCACAAACAGCTCGTCCTCGAGCTGTAAGGTGGGGAAGCGCTTGCGGAACTCCTGGAGGCGATCAACCAGCGTTAAACACCTTCTCGACAGTTGGGGGTGTCCTCCGGAATGTAGTCTGCAACCTCCAGGTAGAAGAGTCGCGGGCAGGCATGGCCAGGCGTGTAGGGTTCGTCGCAGTTGAAGCATAACCCTTGGCGACGACGCTCGAGCAGTTCGGCTGATGTGAGCCGGCGGAACTGCCGCGCCGCGGTCGCGATGAGGGGTGTCGCAGAAGCCTGCGCAGGCCGACCCTGCACGGAATCCGGCCCGGGTAGCAACCCGGCGGTGCGGGACGGTGATTCCTGCTGGATGGCCACCACGCGGCGCTCGAACGCGCGGGCGTAGTACATGGTCGTCTGAAGGTCTTGTGGCCCCTTCATCTCGACGTCCACGCGGATGTGCTCGGGAAGGCCGCCGACGAAGAGCTCCGCCCGCTGTAAGGCCGTCACACCAGGCACGTGGCATGCTAGTGCCTGGAAGCGATCGGCGAAATCCTGCACCGTGGAGGTGAACGGTAGGCGGCCCAACTCGGCCAAGCGGCTCCCGCGTACCGGTGGTCCAAATCGAAGAAGACATAGCTCGCGGAAGTGATCCCACGGTGGCATGTCGCCCTCGTCCTGCTCGAGGGCGTAGTACCATGTCTGGGCGGCCCCGCGGAGATGGTAGGAAGCCAGCCAAGTGCGCTTCGACGCGGGCGTGCGCTATCCATGGAAGAACTGGTCACACTGGTTGAGCCAGTTAAGCGGGTCGTCCGAACCATTGTACGTGGCGAAGTCGATCTTTGCGAACCGGGGCGGCTGCTGGTGTGGCGCGCCCTGGCCCACTGCCTCGGCGGTACGGAGGGCTGATGACGGAGCTCGGTCCAGGGTGGAAGGGCCGACGTAGTCCCCTATGGCTCCCGACGCCTCGGGCTGCAACTGGAACCCTGACGGCGGCCGGGCCTCCGTGGAAGCTGACGGCGGCCCGTGGAGCCAGCCAGGAAGTGGCGACGGTGACGAAGGGAAACGGACCTCCTGGATCGGAAGGCCGCTCGGCGAGGACCGGCCCAGGCTAGGGTTGGGTGGGGGCGGTGGTGGAACCTACACCGTTGCCGCCGGGAGGGATGGCGCGGTGAGGGACGGCGCAGGCGGCGGGGCCCAGGTCGGCCACTACGGTCCCTGGGTGGTGGCGGGCGGCACGGTTGGCGCCGCGAACGGCGTCGGCCACTGCGGCCAAGGCGGCGTCGAAGCCGCTGGTGGGGAAAGCGCCGGGTAGCCGTCGATGGTGGCCGCCGGTACTGAGTACCATGGCAGCGCCTGCTGGCCCGCGGACGCGGCCGGATGAAGCGGTGGAGGCGGCCCGTACGGGCCCGCCAAGTAGAGGCGGATGCCCTGGACCGCGACGACCAGGTCGTTGAGCACGCCGGCCATGGCCTCCGGTGTGAACTGCGGCGGCGCTGGGGGGGCGACGGCGGTGGTTGCTGGAGGGGGGTTTGTGGCTGGCCCTAGCCCGGCGTGGTGCCGAGTGCGGGGGAGATTGGCGCCGATAGGGAGGCCGTGGTGCCCGGCGACGCAGCGGCGGCGTTGGTGGAATTGGTGGCAGCGGCGGTGGGGGAGGCGTTGGGCAGCGGCGGCTGCGGTGGCGGCGGGTTTGGAGGCGGTGAAGACATGGTCGAAACCCGGGTACCTGATACCAAGGTGTTAGGAGCTAGGGTTCTGCCCGGTCTTGGCCGTAGGCAGTAGGGGAAGGAGGGGGCTGGGCATGGCGATGAGCGGTCGCGCCGGCGGCTGGGCGCCGTCGCGGGAGAGGAGGATGGCGGCGGTGGCGCAAGAGGCAGGGGGCGGCTAGGGTTCCGGCTCCTCTAGGAGCCGGGCAATAGAGATAATCTTCTTATTGCTTAATTCCAAAAGGAGTCTTACAGCCTATATTTATAATCTAGATAATTTGCAGAAGAATTAACCTAAGATAACTTGCATAAGAATTAACCTAAGATAACTTGTGGGCTAAGATTGCCCGGTGAGCCTAGCTAAACCGGCCATAACACTTTGTGTGACAGTGTGAGGTTGGCCTATTTTTTGTGACTACAGTTTTGTGACTACAGTTGAATGAGAAAGAGGATCATGGGCTCAGAGACTATGCCACACGCTCTAAGAATCACTGCAATGGGCACCAACTGGACTAAGAATTGTTCTTACAAATATAAATGAATGATCTATGTCATTGCCCATCAGATGAAAATAATGCATCAGGTACATTATGCTTGCAACAAGAAGCATCCAGATCATATAAGCAATTGGACCAGGCCAGAGAAGAAGTCAAAAGAATGGTAATATACACTTTGTACTAAACTGACTTGTTACAATCATTGTACATAATTATTTAATATGCTTTTATTTAATCTTTTGTACGCTCCACGACTATCATCACTGTCATCTCCTCGAATCGATATTTCGATATTTCTGTGATTGCGTCTTCAAGAGCCATGCAAATCAGGCTGAAATCCTTCGAAGTTTACAACGCACGCACACAAACAGATATGAACTCCATTTGGAATCTTCCCAACAAATCAAAACTTCCCTGTAGAAGGAGTTCAAAATAAACACATCGGGCATAATGTCAGATACAAACTGAAGTTGTAGACATTCTATATAATTGAGATAACGTAATTTCCCGCCTCTTTCTAAGTATTGTAATCTCTGATGACTTACTAGTTACAGTTCAAATCAATGTCCCCATGTTTCCTGCCTCTTGGTAGCAAATATGATGTTCTTGATACTGCAACAACTTTGCAAACTGAAAATAGTCATAAAATCTAACGTGTTAGCATTCCAAATAGAAGTCAGTAATAACGGTCATGACGTTGGACAGAGACTACCTGAGATGCTTTGAGATCAAGCTCATCCCATTCAAAAGATGGATTTGTACCTTCGACAATCCCGGCACCGGCATAAACTAAAGTGCTATATCCCTGGACAAGACAGCTAGGTGACTTATGCTTCTAAATTAGGATAGGTTAAGAAGGATAAGGTTTACACAAATATTGATGACATGTGTTTTATTTACTTTTCCAAGTAGCGCTGATCTAATCCCAACAGCAAACTCACTTTCAGCTCCACCAAACCAACCAACAGGTCCAGCATACATTCCACGGTCGAAAATTTCTGCAACAACATCAGAAAATAGCATTCAGAGATCACCATCAATAGGTTGCATATGTTAGTTTACAGATAACATTTTACCCAGAATACAAGCACACACCATAATCTCGTATGAATTGGCGCGCTTCTTCAGTGGGCAAACCACAAACAGCTGGGCTTGGATGAAGAGCATTTAGGATGTCAAACTGCAATACCAGAACAAAGTATCAATAGTCTATTATATGAACACTAGTTGATGTCTGCAATAATCCAAGGCAAAAGAAAATTCAAATGATCCCTACATATCCAAGTGACAGAGAATATTTCAATCATAGATTACCTCGTCGTCCTCATTTCTTAATCTTGCAGCTAATTGAGCTGACAAATGTTGTACTCTTGGAAGTTTCCGAAGGGCCTTGCTGGGATTGACAACAACCTCATCACAGATCATCTGCAGATTAGATCAGATCCACTGGTTCAGCAAAAATTGCAGTAACCATATTTTGTTTTCTGAAAAGCATTACTACTGAGTACCAAGAGCAAAGCAAACTATTCCACGATCATATCTGAAATTGGACTGTGAAACTTAACTTGCCTCAAGCTTCTTCTTTATGCTGTCCCGTACAATAGTAAATTCAGTGTCCTCTTTGATGCTGCAAGAATTATTTGCATTACTGACCAGTCTGGTCTTCGTACAAGGTGCCGATATCACCGTAAAATTTCAGAAATATGTCAATCTTATGATTCCAAGCACAAAGAGGGGAAACAAACCTTAGAAGCAATTCCTGGCCAATTTGAAAATCATCAGCCCTTGTTTTCCCTCTTGCTCGCGTGCCGGCTAAAGCCTCGCTGGAAATGTTCAAGTATTTCCGGTGAAATAGTTGCTCTGGCTATTCAGAATGTTTGGATGAAATTAGCAATAGTTAGAACAGAGTTATGTAACAATGCTAGAGCAAATATACAGATAAACAATGCACAAGGCATAAAAAAGACCTATCTCTAAACAGGATTCTGACTATACATGATATGAAAGAAGGTCGGGTAAATCAGGAAGAAAGGAAAGTGCATCACAGAAGACATACACTATTTCCAACAAATGCAGGAGCATCAGGTGGCTGTATGCAGAACTGGTAGGCATTCTGGCCCTCAACCTGTATACACAAGAGTCGCGGAATGATCTTTTTGTAAACAACGAGGGGAGGGGACAACAATACAACATACCTTCAGACAAGCTAACAGCTCCAGAGGGTCGATGCAAGTATCAGTGATGTACCTGCTGCACCTTGCCAACACAACCTGTGGAAAATATTTCAATGGCAAGTTCAAAATATGTGGTGAACAAAAATGGAAAACAAGTATTTTCTTAACTAACTGGAAAATTCTAGCATTGACAAAAATATCAGATTTGACCAAACCTCTCTGTACTCGCAAAAGGACAGGTAAAAAAAATTGCTTGCTAATTCGGTTTACCTTGACTAATTCGGTTTGGCTCCCTTTGATCATCCGAAGAGCTTGAGTAACAGCAAGATCCCAGGACGCCTTGGTGGGGACATGATTGAGATTTACGATGGCGGTTTGTAGGATGGACCTGTTCACCTTAACTGAACAGGGTGATATCTGCATAGAAGCTCAAATTAGTGGTTGCTAAGTTACTATCTTGCACATGACAATACAGAAAAATAAAATGTCATGCCTTGTGCAATGTTGATTGGAGCTCGTCCACAGCGCTCTGCCATGTCCAAGAAAGCGAGTCGTCCCACGCAATCGTCGTCGCCAGAACCGAGCCCTCCTCGAGCTCGCTGAACTCAACCTGCAATGCAGTACACTTTTACATTGCACACACTTGAAAAGAAGCAGCCAGTACACATGCACATTGCATTCATCATGCAGAATGAAACTGTCACCAGTTGCGGATCGACTTACTTGTGGAACAACGAAGTAGAATGCGCCGTAGTCTTCCCATTCGACCGAGGCGTCGCTCGACGCGTCGAAACGGATGGCGCCGTAGGCGCGGATCAGCGGGCAATCCCTTGAAAGAAATCTTCACGGGCAAAGAAGAGGAGGAACAGCATCGTCAACGCACTCTAAGCCAAGCTTTATCACAGTTCATTCAATTCAAAAAAACATACTACTAGCTCATCGAGTAGGTAGTGAGTTTTTGCGTACCTCTTGATGGCTCGCCAGTCGCGGAGGGAGAAGGGGTCCGTGCCGCGGAAGAAGACCGCCGACCCCACGCCGGCGACGCTAACCGGCTGCTCCCACTGCTCCTTGTGGCCGCCGTTGCCGTTGCTGCTGCGGCTGCCCACGGCGACGGCCGGCGTGTCCGGCAGGGGCGCCCGGGCGGAGAAGAAGCAGCGGAGCAGGGAGCTCTGCCTCTGCGCGTGCAGCCACTCGATGGCGTCCCCTCGCTGCCGAATAGGCACCTGCGTGCGCATTTTATCCAGATAGAACGATCAAACGCAGTTCCACACCACACGCGCCATTGACGAGGGACATGTGCTTTGGCTTTGCTACCTCGATGCGGATGATGCCGGAGGAGGACGCCGGCGGGTCGGCGTTGAGCGCGGCGACGGCGGCCCTGAGCTGCCCGACGGCCTCCTGCGGCGCCGACGCTGCCGGCAGGGCCCGCGTCTCGTGCATGGTCACCACGCCCCGGTCGCCGACACCTGCCGCGCAGCCGTTCATAGACAGGGAGCACGACGGCCTGACCCACCTGCTCCCATCGCGAGCGAGGAGACGACGTACGAGCCCCTTGGACGCCGGGCGGGAGGAGAGGAGGCGACCGGAGTAGAGCGACGACGACGACGGCGACGGCGACATTGCTGAGGATGTGATCTCGAGCGAGACACTATCTAGTACCCCACGCACGTAGACGCCGATGCATGTTTCGTCGCGAGGGAAACGAGAGGAGATAAGAGACGATTCTCATGGGGATAAGTGGCAGAAGCGTAAATCTGCTTCCGCCACGTGGCCAGCCGATAAGCCGCACGCTTGCACGACGCTTTTCAACGTGGCCAACCAGTCAGCCGTTCATCCCAGTTATAGATTGTATATTATTGCCGGATCGAGGGCTCAACTCAGGCAACAATCATTATCTTCTCCCTTGACGAATTGACGAATGCTGAATCAAGTTCAGAATTTTCAGAGCTTGAATTATTACTGCGAGTGTGGCTCAACGGACAGGCACTACACCGAGCAAAGACAAAATTCCTCAGGAATGAAACACGGCAGTTCTTCAAATCTAACAGACTGCAACAACGCGCCCAAGGGCGTGTGAAGTATTGTCAACCCGCCCCGATTTCATCCGAAACCGAGGAACACCCCTGACTGAGAGCTTAGAGAAGGGGGGCTTGATTCCGCAATCAAGGCTTGAGAGCAATAGCAATGCCGACCTTCGAGCTCTTCTCGATGGCCTTGGTGTCCACCTCCGCCGAGATGGTGCACAGCGACTTTGGCATGAACTCGTGCTGGATCAGCGCGCTGGCCTTGCCAGAGTTGTTGATCCGGGCCTTCACAAGGGTGAGCGGGTCCAGGGTATGCTGGGTGCCGAAGGTGAGGCTGTTCTCGTTGCTTGAGAAGCTGTGGGTCAGCTCTGCCCCAACAGCTGTGCCGGATTTCTCCACAATGTGGTAATAGGATGCAGTCAGGCTGTCTCCCTTGTTGTTCCTGCAAGAATATTTCAATTCAAATCGTTAGTGGGAACTAGCCAACGGTGCACCGAGAGTTGATGTTAGTTCCTCGTGCATCAGCTTGTATACATTTTGATTCTTCTGAGGATGCTAAAGGAGGTCCATGTTTAACTACCAAACATACACGATAAAAATCAGAACAAGAGCTTGTTTAATTGGTTTGGTTTAAAGAATCTAACAGCTCACAACATGTATTCTTCGAGGGGCACTGATCAATATTAGCTACTCCCTCCGTTCCAAATTACTTGTCGCAGAAATGGATGTATCTAGAACTAAAATACATCTAGATACATCCATTTCTGCGACGAGTAATTCGGAACGGAGGGAGTAGTTGAGAAAGGATATGTCTGATTTGAAGAAGAAAAAAAACAAATAAAAGGACACAGCAACTGCTTGCTAGGTCAGCTTTATTTGTGGTTGCAATGATACAAGAGTTTGTTAGCAACATGTTGCAACTACCAAGCAATTGGTAGATGATAAAGAATGACCTAATATAACACAAAAAGACCTTGGAAAGTTATATTTTAGCTATTTGTATACTGTCTCAACTGAACAATAACTTGCTAGGTGAGATAGGACAAATAGTGATTAACATATACTCTAAGAGCGTTTAGATCACGTACCTATGAAGATGTCACAAGGATCAAATAAGCTAAGATTGGCAAAGTAATACTTGTGAATCCTAATTTACATAGATAGATCTTGAAAACTCACAGGTTCAGGGATGCGATAAGATCCTGGTTAGTGTAGCTAAGTGCAGCATTGTATTTGGTGAAATTCTTGGTGGCTGTATCAAGCGACACATCAGCACCAAGAGCTAGAGCACTAGTTCCGAACGCGCCGGAGAGGTTGACTACAGGATTGGCAGTCAAGCCAATGCTTGCATTAATACCAGCATAATCATGCAAGTACTGGAGCTCAACCTGCAAACAAAGAACGAATCAAACATAAGCAACAACCAATTAAGAAACCATTACATTGAGGGTTAGGATACCACCTTTCCAGATTTCTGATCAGGAACAGCAAAGCTCAAGATGGTCTTCAGCCCTGGTGCTGCAAGATCGTCAGCGGTAATTGTAGTAATGACCTGCCCAAGAGAACAAAGCAGTCAGTACTAAAAGCTGGAAATACAACAGAACAATTATAATGTTTGACGAGGGAGAGAGAGACATACATTCGATGCTGAGTTGGCCTTCACATCTACAGTGATGTTTTTGTTCTTGATCTGTGATTGGATCTCACCGAGTATAAGATCAGCCTTCTTTGTACTGGTAGCAGTAATTGCCTGCATGGAGAAATTCAAAGAAAAGGTTGACAATAGAACTTATATCATAGGTACCACACCGTTACCATAGCAATGTCAACATAGCAGCAGTTGTCACAAGAAAAAAGTAATATCAAGAGAACGCTAGGATATGTACAGCACTGCACCGGTGACACTATCATATTTCACTGTGATGGCACTTTACACAAAGATTCTGTTCTAAGAATGGGGTGGCATCCACTAAAATGCTAATTTGAAGAAATATATCATTTGTTGAAGATATTGACAACAGCATAAATCCAGTTGCATCAGACTCCAGATCTATATCTTATTTTATTTTTTATGGAAAAAAAATTCAGAACCCACACATCCCCCAGCCAAACCAAAATAAGGAAACGACAGAATAAAGTAGAATAGCTTTTGGAACATTGGATTAGCCCATTTCTTTTGGTCTAACAAATGACATGATTAACAATGACAGAAAATCCCCACCTACAGCCCCAGAAAACACAGTACAACAATCCTTAAATATTGTTGTGATTGTAATTACTCGCAAGATAGCTACCTCAATAAGACAGTAATACAGCTATTGTTCTCCAGTCTCCAGCCCTATGTTGATGACTTGGTAGGGTCTGCCGATGTGCCCTAGTTATTAAGCGTAAATTCTATGACAAATTATTGGGATACAACTCCCCGATGAATTCAGGACAATGGCAAGGCTAGCACATTGAGTTCCATCCCATTCTCCCGAAGTCCTAACCAACAGAATCAATTCCTCTATCAGCCCAAATGCAACCCACAACAAATCAGCAAAAGCCATAAGCAGCAAAACCTATCTAAAAACCCTCGCGCTACCCAGAGCCAGAGGTCGTCAAACCACTGCCCAGCGATCAATCACTCGGATCACACGGAACGACAATAAACCGCGCGAACAGATCAGGAAACCCAATAATCTCCTGGAGCCCGGATCAGACCGCGTCCCTTTCTCGCACGACGCGACCTGGCAAAACGGAGCAGGAAGAGACAAGATGTAGGGGAGCACTTACGGCGCCATTGGCGGTGTAGGTGGTGAGGGTGAACTTGTGGTCGGTCTGGTAGTCCCTGTACAGTAGATCTGCAGCGAGCGAGCAAGCACAACAATCAGCATATCTCACAGGGAGGAATCTAGCTCGGAGAAGAAGAAAATCCCACGAACGCGGGTCGGGCGGGAGGGGCGGAGGATCGGGCGCTCACCCTTGGCCTTCTTGCCGATCCCGGAGTAGAGGCCTGGGCCGCCCATCTCCGCCGGTGAGCTGGGATGCGCCTGCGCCGCTGGAGCTGCGTGGGTTTGTGGAGGGTGGGGGGAGGCGGCGGATAGGTGGTGGAGGGGAGGGAAGGAGCGGGGAGGGGGGAATAAAGGCGGAGAAATTCTACGGCGCACCAGGCGATGGCGAGAGCGGCTGCGGCTGCGCGTGGGCCCTCATAAAACCCTAGCTTAATGTTTTGTTTTTCTCGCCCATTTTCGGGTTTCCACACGACTCATGCGATATTTTTTTTGACATTCTGGTTTAGAAGACATTGTTTTTATCACATCTTTCTTGTGCTATGCTCATGCAATCATGTTTTGGTAAAATCATGTTTTGAAAAAACAACATATATGCAGGTTTTTTGCAACAACAAAAAAACGTATATACATGCTTGGTTTTGCATATTTTGCGTATAGTTTAATTCATGTGCAATTTGAGATAAAAACACACACACACACAAGTGGACATGTGATGTCCTGCTAAGGCTGCTATATGTGTTGCTTGTGTTGTGTCCTTAGTATTTTATTGGTTTCTCAAAGTTGCATACATTATGTGGAGTCCTTCGGAATGCATAGAGAATCAAAAGGGTTTATTCTTTTCCAATCATGTGGCCTAAATAATATGTCTTTTTTTTGCGGATGTAAATAACATGTCTTTTGTGGAATTTTTTTCCCCTAGTTCATCAAGAGGTACTTGATCGGGTCAACATGTATAATTCACATGACATCCCCCAAAGTGCTACTTTTTTATTGATCTTGTCTATTTGGGTACTACTTTAGATTCTTTCTAACCGATGTTGGATTGATTAAGGGCATCTTCAAGGCGGACCCGCAACCATCCGAACCGCGTTGTCCGGACAGCGGAAAATCATCCAATGCCGACCTGTATCGGTACGCGGAGCGGTCTGGACGCGATTTCTCCCGCAAACCGGAGACAAACGTGGGGGGGGGGTGCGGGAGTCCGAACCGATCTCACGCCCTTTTCTGACCACCCTGGTCCACCCAAACCCCTTCTCTCGCGCCCGCGCGCGTTCCCGCTGCGCACCAGCTACCTGCATTCATGCCGATGTAGAGCGGCCGCTCCCCAGTGAAGAGAGGACGTGACGTCTCACTGGTGTTGGCATTGAAGCAGCTCACCGGCCGAGGGCGTCGCCCTTGACGCGCATCCAGTGTCCACGCCTATTCAATGCCGGAGATGTGTGACTAGATGGGACGGGACGAATATCTACCACGCCCCTTCAATGCCCCGTTCGTCCGCATGCCGCCATTAAGCAGGCTCGCCGACCAAGAAACCCACTTCAGTGTCCCGCATAGATGTCTAGCCTCACTGAAATCCGCTAAGGGCAGCCACACCTGACTATCTCCACAACACAACACATCTGCTCCACATCCTCCTCCTTTCCTCCACATCCGCCATGACCGCCAGCGGGAAAGCACTATGGGGCAGACTGTCGTAGGAGATGAAGCACGTGGTGTCCGCCCTTGCCGCTGTCTGGCATAGCCGCCATGCCAGGCGGATGGAGGCCAACTTGCCGTCCAGCTCGCCCAAGGTCTCTAACGACGAGGACGACACCACGATGGAGACAGGCTCCAACGACTCCGCCCCGGCTCCCGCGCCTCCTGTGCACGCTGGCTTCACCATGGAGCAGGCGCATGCACACTAAAACACCACCATGGCGGAGGTGCAGCATGCGTCGGTGCCTCTGTCGGTGTTCCAGTAGGCGCGGGAGGAACAAAGGTGCAACCTATTCCTCCTGGAGCAATATCGGCTGGTGGAAGGCCAGATCTATGGTAAGCACGCAAGCGAGGAGGCCATGGCCGCGGCAAAGCCCAACTTCATGGCAAAGCACATGCCATATACGATGTCATCCGCGCTCAAGCTATCGCTCGCTAGGAAGCGGCCACCATGGAGGTGCAGCTGCAGGCGATCGCAGAGAGAGAACAACGCCAGTTGCGCCTCCTACACGCTGCCGACGAACCATTAGTCGGCCCGGTGGGAGGAAGACAGCACTGGCGCCACCATTTCCATCGTGGACCTCACGTCCACCGGCGACGGACAGGTTGTGAACTCCTCCGAGGATGAGTAGGCCACAGGAGGTGGTGGTGCCTTGTGTCCCATGTGGGCCGGTCCGTCTACCGTGTTCTACTCTTCCTTGCCGGAGACCGCATCTTCACTTCACCGGTCTTATCACTGGTGCTTATGGAGACGGCAGATGAAGGACGACACGGGCTTGAACGTCGGGCATCGCCGCAGTAGGATAGGTTTTGGGGGCGGGTCTTTTATTTTGTTCTAAATGTTCAAAATGTAATGAAATCTGTTGTGTTTGTATGAAATCTGTCATGTTTGTATGAAATCCGGTTGTGTTTGCATGAATTTCATCCGGTTTGTTGAAAAAAGTTTGAAATGTATGCGGCTAACATTGGATGGCGTCCTCCCACATCCGTGTCCGCGGACTGGTCCCCCTGTCCACAGACGGATGTGAGAGGAAATTTGTGTGTTGCCGTTGGAGATGCACTAAGCGGGTCGAATACTTACCATCTCTACTTTTTGTTGAAGTATACATTCGGAAGTTGCAAGAAAAATTCAAGAGAGATGAATTTTCAATGATTTGTTTGTTTACGTCTCGCGTCCCCCTTCGCTATGGCTGCCAGTCAATGATACGTCTCCAACGTATCTATAATTTTTGATTGTTCCATGCTGTTTTATTATCAACCTTGGATGTTTTATAATCATTTTATATCATTTTTGGTACTGACCTATTGACATAGTGCCAAGTGCCAGCTGCTGGTTTTCTATGTTTTTTACATCGTAGAAAATCAATATCAAACGGAGTCCAAATGCCAGAAACTCCATGATGATTTTTTATGGGCCAGAAGGAAGGCAATTGGCCCTGGTTGCACCTGGGGGGTACCCCGAGGGGGCACAACCCACCAGGGCGCGCCAGGAGACCCAGGCGCGCCCTGGTGGGTTGTGCCCACATTGGGTGCCCCCTGAACCGCCTCTTTGCTCTATAAATACCATAGTATTCCAGAAACCCTAAAGGCATCGACGAAATATTCATCCAACCGCCACAGAGTCCAAAACCACCAGATCCAATATAGACACCATCTCGGATGGGGTTCACCACCTCCATTGGTGCCTCTCCGATGATGCGTGAGTAGTTCTTTGTAGACCTTCAGGTCCGTAGTTAGTAGCTAGATGGCTTTCTCTCTCTCTCTGAATTCTCAATACAACGGTCTCTTGAAGATCCATATGATGTAACTCTTTTGCGGTGTGTTTGTTGGGATTTGATGAACTTCGAGTTTATGATCAGTCATATCTTTTTATATCCATGAAAGTTATTTGAGTTTTCTTTGATCTCTTACATGCATGATCTCTTATAGCCTCGTATTTCTTCTCCGATATTTGGGTTTTGTTTGGCCAACTTGATCTATTTGTCTTGTAATGGGAAGAGGTGTCCGGTAGTGGGTTCGATCTTACGATGCTTGATCCCAGTGACAGAAAGGGAACCGACACGTATGTATCGTTGTTGCTAAGGATAAAAAGACGAGATCTATATCTACCGCCATATAGATAAACGGATCTTGTCTACATCATGTCATCGTTCTTATTACATTACTCCGTTTTTCCATGAACTTAACAAACTAGACGCATGCTGGATAGCAGTCGATATGTGGAGTAATAGTAGTAGATGCAGGCAGGAGTCGATCTACTAATCTTGGACGTCATGCCTATATAATGATCATTGCCTGGATATCGTCATAATTATTTGAAGTTCTATCAATTGCCCAACAGTAATTTGTTTACCCACCGTTTGCTATTTTTCTCGAGAGAAGCCACTAGTGAAACCTACGGCCCCCGGGTCTTCTTTCTCATATATTTGCCTTGCGATCTACTTTTCTTTTGCATTTTTATTCGCATCTATTAAACCAAAAATCCAAAAATACCTTGTTGCATTTTATCTTTATTTATTTTTATTTGGCGTTCGATCTATCAATCTACTACAATTTACCTCACGTCTGTTTGCCTATCTTGAGGCGTCGTACCCCGGAAGGGATTGACAACCCCTTTAACACGTCGGGTTGCGATGTGTTGTTATTTATGTGTAGGTGTTGCTTACGTTGTGTTGCTTGGTTCTCCTACTGGTTCGATACCTTGGTGTCATAACTGAGGGAAATACCTACCGTCGCTGTGCTACATCATCCCTCCCTCTCCAAGGAAATACAGACGTAGTTCCAGCTACCATCAAGGAGAATTTCTGGCGCCACTGCCGGGGACGATCTTCAACTGATAGAGGCTAAGGTGTCCCGATGTTTCGATGAGATGGTGGCTATCGTTTTCTATGGGAGTCGACCTTGATGATCCGACTACGAACGTGCGAGACGTCGCGCCTTAGCAATCGCTAAACCAACTTCCGAGGGTTATTGACCACGCCGGAGCACGATCAACCTGACCACGAGGGTCTGTTTCCTGCGAGCAAACGAAGAACAAGCAAGAAACTGAGATTGCAATCGGGATATTGCAAATATAAGATGAAAAATTTATTGATCAAGGTGGGGTTCTGTGACGTCTTGGTCTGGTCGTTGGACACAAACGAAGTACGCGAAGTTGCAGCTATGGCGAACTTTTAATCTAAACAAAACCCAAAGTCTAAACGACGCCCTAAGGGCTGTATATATGGAGGAAGAGGGGGGAATTTCGTGGCCCTTGAGGGTGGGGTCCGAAACTAACACTAACTCTTGTTTCCCCACACATACGGACTCTAAAAATAGCCTATACTTAAGTATTTCGAAATTAGATGGGCCTGGCCCATTAATAAGGTGACGCAGCACCTAGAATAGCCTATGGACGAATATTATGAAGTGACATCTTGTATATTTCGTCCAAGGCTTCATGCACTCCTTATGGCGGCTTCAAAGTCCTGAAATCATCACTTGTAACTCCGTTCTTGATCCCCTTGCGCATGCCATCAACTCCATGCGTGTTCTTGCTC